TTAAACACCATTTCCTGTACGAACACCGAAGCTAAGCAACGTCGAACCAAGTCAGTACCAAAATGGGTGTGCGTTTCGGAATACCAGGTGCTGTAAGCTTGTGTGTGCGGGTGGTGTAATGAATAGTGGCTCGGAATTGTTAATCGAAGAGCCGAGTTCTAATTCCAGCTGGCTTCGTTATATTGACACGCGCAAATATCTATGGGGAAAGTTAGGAATTCACCTTTTCTCCCCAGCTATGGATTAATTAGCATAGCTTTTATCACTACATCATTATCTAAAAAAAATTCTTATAATCTAAAAATATTTTTGGCTTTAAATAATCTGCAAAGGGTTGATAAACCGTAGAAAACGAATGAGTCAATTAAAAAATAGCTGTAAGAAGCTAAAAGATACATGCGTAAATCCCGAAATATTTTACTGGTAAGATTCTAGTACTTTTAACTGACTGAATTGAATGTTGATGTATATTGATGAATGTTGTGTCCCTCTTTTTATATGTCAAATAATTTTTTATCCACCTTTGGACTCCGAACGTCAGCCAAATCAAGGGTATGTGGTTTCGAGTCTTTCTTCAAATGTTTTCTTCTTGCATGCATGTAAGAGATTTTATCTCTCTTCTCTTCATATAAGAGGATTATTTTAGAAGAGTTATCTTAGTGTCTGTTCTTATTCCAGCAAACCGCATTGTAAAAGTGAAAATAAAAAAACTCCCAAAAGTACAAATGGTTACAGATGCGTTAGGGACCTTGCAAAGAAGTTTTATGAATGGAAATCTGAGGGAGAATTGTGACTGTAAACTTGACAGCATTACTAACATCAGTAATAATTCTAAATGTTTTCGGTGCTAAGGAGACTTGTTACTTTTTCGTCTCTGGTAAAAGCCGCTCGATACTACTGCTCTGAAAACCCGACGAGTACAGATAATATTAACAATTTTATTTCAACCTGTGTAAATTCAAAGAGTCTTGACATATATGATATCATAATTTTTAAAGTAGAAATTGTGATGTGAGGGATTATCTCTGGCTTTTCGTAGGTTAGACCTTTATAGAGTATCCTACTAATCAGCTGTTATACATGAGTGTAAATCCAAAGTTCGGTTGGGTTTGTTACAGTTTTTTGTGTATATCATGTAACTAGTGAGTTAGTCCAAATGCCTTGACTCGCTTTATCGTCTACCAATAGAAGGTTAACCAATCAGAGGCTGCAGAACATTCTATCCGTCGTGTATAAAGGCGGCCATTTTTGTTTACCCTACCCGAATGACCAGTTCCCAACTTGTCAGGCGAAGATGACAGAAGGAAGTACTACGCTCTGCTACTTTGCTGCGATATCCACTGCTCACTTGAACTACGCTTTCCTACTGTCTCCGAAATATTCACTGCTAATCTCTGGATTCTATACTCGAAGACGACCGTCATGAATTTATAACAGGTTTCCCTTTCCTGTTCACGTTGGTGCAACAACCGACATCACTGAAGGCCCGATTATGACTTTGGTGACTTTGAGGTCACCTTTTCAGTCAACTTTCGGCACTTTAAAGTATTTTGATATCCTGTGATGGCACAAATTACAAAACTTGCTTTGTTATTTCTTACATTGATTGATTTGTTTTCTACGGTTTATCAACCCATTGCAAGTTATTTAAAGATAGAAAATATTTTTATATTGTAAGAATTTTTTTTTTTTATATAAAATGGTTTAGTGATACAAGGCTTTCAATTGCGAGTCATTATCCATTACATCACCCGCACACCCAAGCTTACAGCATCTGGTATTCTCAAGCGGTCACCCATCTAGTTACTGACCAGGATCGACGTTGCGTAACTTCGGTGATCGTACGGTAACGTTACTTCTTACGGTGAACCCATTACATATTGGCGTCACCACAGATCATCTCTAATAAAGGAGTATATTATATATATTTATTTGTGTGGGCTGAAATTACTTATTCTTCACCATCTAGTCATGATAGCGTACAAAATCGTTTACGGTGTTTTGTGGGGTATTACAATGTAGCCACTTTCCTATAAATGCCACGATGCAAGCCTATCGCTTCTCCATTGCTTTTTCCATTTCAAATTTTCAATGTTTCACCCTTTATTTCCACCAGTTCAAACATTTATATCTAGAACTCGCCAACCGACATCATCGGAGCCAAATCGACCAAATTTTCCAACTGTAAAGTGGAGGTTCCAATTTTTTTTTTTTTTTTAACTAAAACTGCTAATTTGTGGAACAAACTCCCACCCGGGGGGCGGGGGGACTACCCGGACACTACAATCTATACCTTGCTTATCTTCAAAATCTCCATTTTTTTCTAACTCCTCTTACATCCATATCACATACCTCATTCAATAACGCTCTAAAATAAGTGACTCTTGAGCCTTCTATATGGTGAACTTTAGCAAAAGCACATTAAACATTATAAAGGAAAGTAATGATATTCAACAGGAAATAATCAACACACACACACACACATACACACACACACACACACACACACACACACACACACACACACACACACACACATATATATATATATATATATATATATAGGAGTAATCGGTTGGTACAATCCAGGTGAGTCCTATTAACACAACATAGAATTTGAAATATGTTAAAACTGACTCACAAAAGAGCACTCAATGTTTATTCACAATAAACAGAGCAAATTTACTTTACAATTGGAGTTACGATACCTTTAGTAAATGATCATTTCCTAAAGGTATCGTAATTGGAGACAGTTTGAAAAATTCTGCGAATTTTAAAATTAAAATTCGTAGGTGAAAATGCGCATTTACTAAAAGTATTGTAATTCAATTGCAATATATATATATATATATATATATATATATATATATATATATATATATATATATATATAGTCATCCGCAGACAGACTGACTGTTTCGCTGTATCACAGCCCTTCAGTGTGGTTAGACATTCAATCGCTTCAGGCCGGAACCTGACTGATTTTGTATTAATCGGAGATTCTAACCCTTAGGCCACCGATGCCCGGAAGAGAGAAAGGCGAATTTTCTGCGTATTTATTTTTCATAAACACTCCAGTCACTCGGAGAATTGAATCAGCTAAAACACAAAATATGTTAAACGGCCTGAAAAATAACATACTAAAAACGGACGTATGAAAAAATGCTCAATGCAGCAGTTGAGAAAAATATATATGCAGAGCAATCTAATACAAGAAAAAGAAGTAAAACACTGTATACTAGTGCACTCTACTGTGGTTTCAACGCTAGGTCTCGTCAGGTGTTGTACAGCCACTTGTTATAATGTCTAGCAATAGGTCTTTGCAAAATATAGTAATTGCAGGGAATGAACGTGCCAGACTAAGATAAATCAAGTAACTGTCTTTTCTATAAATACTTTCATGGTGACTGCTCCGACGTGCTACTTTCGCTAGTTCCCAGACTGCATGAATTTAAGCGTGCTACTAGGCTGGCATCATGATCCCACGAAACGGTTAAATGTCTCTTCTACTCCAATAGCTTCATGTCTCGCACCACTCGTCTGTGGAATTCCCTTCTTATTACTTGTTTCCCTGAGAGATATAATCTCCAACTATTCAAATGTAATGTCAATCGACATCTCCAGATGCCTTCATCTATTCCCGCTATCCTTATTTTTTCCTCTATCACTCCTCTTTGCACTCGCTCTCACTCACTCTGTAACCCCGTGCGTACTAGTGGCATTCTGCCTTGCTTGGGATGAAATGCTTTTATATATATATATATATATATATATATATATATATATATATATATATATATATAATAATAATAATAATAATAATCGACTCTCCCGTCGAGATTCGACGTATGAGGGTCAAGCAGATTAGTTTCCAGGAAACCGACAGCCCGACACCGTCACATGAGTTTTGATTATAGTGGTGAAGGCCTCGTGCAGGACCATCCACACTTTTTAAAGGGACGAATACAGAGAACTGGTGCACTGAATGCTACAAGGTTCCCAAACGACCCTCCGCAGGTTTTGAATATATATATATATATCTTGTGAGCGCCTATCATAGAGCAATGGTTTGGCAAATAAACATGCAAACCTTTTGTTCATACGGTCTGTTCGATCTTGATTGAGTGTCCCACAATTTCGACGGTAACGAGTCAAGAGAAGCCGTGATATGTTCGATGCGCCTCCTGTCAGTCAGTGTTTAGCAAGCTTGACGTGCAAACATTTAGTGTCGCGAGATTGGTCTTCACTGTGTTAACTTCAAGTGCGTTTATAAACCTCTAGACTCTAGAGATTTATACACGCACTTGAGTCTAGAGGTTAGGGACACTTCGCAGTCGCTGTTTCGCAGTCTCATGTGCAATCACTTTCCGGCAGGCATCTAATTCCTCTTTCGTGACTCACCTAACCCAGGAGAAATTGGCTAAGAATTTCCACTGTCATATCACACCCGAAATGTAGCCTTCTTTTCCTTCAGGTTATCCAGCGAACAAGCCACCTGACGAGTCCTGGCGGTCGCTACCACGGGTAGTATATGGTAGAACATAGTGTTTTATCACTTTTTATCATATATATATATATATATATATATATATATATATATACACAAATTATTAACTGTTGAATTTCATTATTTTCTATTGAATATATGTGAACGAGTGTATATCTACCTATCTATGTATGTACGTGTATATATATATATATATATATATATATATATATATATATATATATATATGAATAAATTGTTTTTGTCTATATGAAGTGTTCTAAATTGTTTTTGTTTTTATGAAAAAAATTATAATAAATAATTATTGCTCTACTATCGGTATTAAACCTGCTTTTGATTTAATGCTGTGTATGTTAGATTTTATATATTATTTTAGTTCTCATTATTCCGATATTATATATATATATATATATATATATATATATATATATATATATATATATATATATATTTAGGCAGCATTTTTTATTGAAGCATGTTTCATTAAATAATATTGATTAAATATAATTAATATATATTAATATAATATATTAAATAATATAATATAAAGTTTTGTCTATTTATTTTATATAAATTCTTTTCACATCGTC